AAAAAAGATAGGAAAGCAAGAAGTTAAATTGTCATTATTTGTCGATGATATGATAGTCTACATCGAAGACCCAAAAAACTCCACCAAAAGACTTCCTGACTTAATTCACACTTTTAGCAGAGTAGCAGGATACAAGGACAACACCCAAAAATCAATAGCCTTCTTGTACACAAATAATAGACTCACTGAGCGAGAAATTAGGGAAATAATTCCTTTCAGAATAGCACCCAAAAAAATGAAGTATCTGGGAATCAATCTAACAAAAGAAGCAAAAGACTTCTACACTGAAAACTACAGCACTCTGAAAAAAGAGATCAAAGAGGATATAAGAAAATGGAAAGACATCCCCTGATCCTGGGTAGGAAGAATCAACATAGTGAAAATGGCCATACTACCAAAACTGCTATATAGATTCAATGCAATACCAATTGAAATCCCAACACTATACTTCACAGAACTAGAAAGAAGAATCCAAAAATTCTTTTGGAACCATAAGAGACCTAGAATAGCAAAAGCCATCCTAGGCAACAGACACACGGCAGTGGGTATAACAATTCCCCATCTGAAACTATACTACAAAGCGACTGTGATAAAAACAGCATGGTACTGGCAAAGAAACAGACCTGAGGATCAGTGGAACAGACTGGAAGACACAAAAGCAAATCCAGACGTACTCAGCTACCTCATCTTTGACAAAGGAGCTGACTATCCCCACTTGAGGAAAGATAGCCTCTTTAATAAATGGTGTTGGAAAAACTGGATCTCAACCTGTCGAAGATTAAACCTAGACCCTTATCTCTCACCATGCACTAAATTAAAATCCAAGTGGATTAAAGATCTAAATATTAAAACAGAAACACTGAACTTTCTGGAAGATAAATTAGGCAGAACTCTTGAAGACACTGGCATAGGAAAAGACTTTAAGAACAAATCCTCAGTAGCGCGGGAACTAGCAGAGAGAATCAACAACTGGGATCTCATCTTATTAAAAAGCTTCTGCACTGCAAAAGAAACCATCAACAGAACTAAGAGACAACCTACAATGCGGGAAAAAATTTTTACCAGCTGTTCCTCAGAAAGGACTATTATCTAGACTATATAAAAAACTCAAACACATCAGCCCCCCAAATATAAATACCCAATTAAAAAATGGACATCTGAAATGAACAGCCATTTCTCAGACAAAGAAGTAAAAGCAGCAAGTAAATATATGAAAAAATGCTCCACATCCCTGGTCATTCGAGAGAATGCAGAAGAAAACAACACTGAGATTCCACTTCACCCCACAAAGAATGGCTGCTATCAAGAAATCAACCAATAACAAATGTTGGCGGGGTTCTGGCAAGAAAGGATCACTTCTCCATTGTTGGTGGGAGTGCAGACTGGTGCAACCACTTTGGAAATCAATATGGAGACACCTCAAAGAGCTGGGACTAGAAGCTCTATTTCACTCAGCCATCCCTCTGCTGTGCATCTTTCCAAAAGAATTAAAAGAATCATACCAGAGTGATATATGTGCACCAATGTTTAGAGCGGCACAGGTTGTAACAGCTAAAACTTGGAAACAGCCCATCAACTGGAAACTGGATAAAGAAGATTTTCTATAAAATGGAATACTACTCAGCCATAAAGAATGAGAAATTAGAGTCATTCATAGGAAAATGGATGCATATTGAGGATATACTGCTAAGTGAAATAAATAAATCACGGGTAAATACCAAATAGTCTCTCTGGTGTGAAAAAGTATAATAGTACACATGATCCTAATGGGATAATTAATAGTGTGAAATAGGAAGGAAAGGGCTAAAGGTGTAGGGAAAGTGGGAAGGGTAGGGGGAAAGGAAATAAGGGAAAAGAAAAAAATATGAAGTGGAAATAAAGTGTTTGTAAATAGGGATGGGGGGAAGGGGTGAAGGGAGGGTAGGGACAAGGGAAAAAAAATGAGAACCAAGACCTGTCATGTGAAGGTACAGGATCCCAGCAATGAATGTAACTGTATTGTATACCTATATTGTACCAATAAACTCAATAAAAAGAAAAGAAAAAAAAAGTGAACCACCATGATTTAGATGGTTTCCACCCTAAGAAGATCACCAAGTTACTCTCTGTGATCCCCGAATCTTGCTGGACTCTTTTTACCTTGACTCCCTCCTATACATTCACATGACCTCAGAGCAGGTCTTAGTTAAAGTTTCTACTTTCAACATGTTCCCAGCTCCTCACAAGCTATGGAGTAGCAAAAACACAACCGCATCTCCGCCTATACCTTAACATTTACTCAGACTGCAAAGGAGGGTGGGAGGTGGAGACAAGCAACGCAGCTGTGCAGATGGCAGATAACCAAGAAACTCTGCAGTGAGAAAGAGAAAGGTTCAGTGGGGATGTTGCCCAACACCAAGCTGGGCTGCTTCTCTATAACAGCACTTATCTAGCCAGAGTTTATGCAGGTGCTACAGCAGTACAGGCTTTAAACCTTCATTTTGTGATCTCCATGACCAAAGCTATTCAAATGGTACTACCGGTTAGGTCTTTTTTCAGGTAAAGACAAATTAATTCTGAAGGAAACAAACTAAAACAATGATAAGCATTTTATTCTCCCTGTTGGCAAAACTGTGTGAACACACTGTTACACACAAACACTACGCTCTCTATCCTTCTAAAACCTGAACTGCTCAAGGATAAGGCCTGAGTAAACATGGTCTTTGCCTAGTTTTATTTCAGTTCAACTCAGCAAACTACAGATGGACTTTCCAAACTCCCAGATGGAGAAAAACAGAACACTGGTTTTCCAGTTCCTTTTATTCTCCCCAGTCTTCTGTTTTCAAGTTTGCTTTGCCTTTGGGATCTCTTGGCTCCCGGGTTCAGATTGTCACCTGCATTTCTGATTTCAAAATCTGGTCTGGATCAACTCACCCGACTTTGTCCCGGGACTGCCCAGCCAGCCATCTACATGTGTGGAGCCATCGTTTGCACTGAAGCTGTCATCTTCTGGCCACAAAAAGGACTATTCTTAAATAGAAGGCTTGATCCCCTGGAGCACCCTGTTCTCTAGGGGCCCCTCCTACACCTCCTGTTTGTTTGCCATAGAGACAGCAGTGGGTAATGCATGTTTACTGTGAGACTGGAGTGCACTGGCTATGGTGATGCCGCTATTTAAGTGCTACACAAAGAACTGGAGTGAAATAATCAACAGAGCTACGAAAATCTGTAAGGCACAAGGCAAATCAGATTCTTCCCTGAACATGGTATGAACATACAATTAGAAAAAGATAACAGCCAGGATATAGAAATCCAATATCAAGGACACATGCAGAACAATTTTGATCAAAGGCTTTCAACTCTACTGGTGTAGCTAAGGAAATGATTCTTCAATAATTCTTGCAGCGTGACAGTGAAAACTTAAAAAGTGAGAATTAAGCCTAAGAATCTCTTAGCTTAGGTATACTCAAAGTCACTATTAAAATAAGTTGTTCAGAAGGGTAAACATATTCTCTGATCGTGAGTTCTGCCACTGCCCTTTCTGGCTTGAACTAGACTTCAAACTTTGAAAATAAAAATCTGGTGATCAAGAAATCAGGGCTAAAGATAGAAGTAATCAAAATTTAAAAGCGGAAGATTATCAGTCTATTTGCCCTTCACTGTTTGTGGAGAAGACATTGCTGAGGCGTGCCAATCTCCAACACCACGTTACACTAGTCTCTGTTCCTTTTATTTTCGTATCAGGAATTAGTAGTATGAACTACATATATGTTTACCAAGCACACCAACACCTTGCTGAACACAGCTCTTTTTACGTTATGTTGCCCAAAGGGAATCAATAAAAAACAGTTACAATCATATTCGTAATTTTCCTTCACTGAAAACCTCACTGAATATAAGGAAGTCACTGAATACTATGTCTCTTCCATCCAAGTGATTTTCACAGCAGGCAATCTGTGAGGATACCACAGGAGCCCCATACTGTGAACTAAAATGGTATTGTGGATACAGATTTATATGTGATCCTTTTCAGATCTAAGCACTGTCTGCTTTCCTGACTATGGGTTGAGCTGAATGGGCAGTGAGGAGAAAAACCACAGAATGAGTTCTTTTTTGGTCTTCATGGATTATGATATAATCGTGCTGATATATCAATTACTGGAGTGACAACTATATATCTGATTTTGGAAATACCCCCCAAATTTTTGCCTTGCTAACATAATTGGTAAATAAGCCCTTTGTAGCAGGGTCAAAAATCAGTATATCCAGGTGGATCGTGGCATGCTTTTCCTACATATCTGGTACAATACTATGGCACAGCCTCTCTCTCCATATGAGCCTAATGTAAAATCTATTTAGTACAGATATTTTGCAAGGCATCCTATGCACTTAGTTTTCTTTAAACAAGGCATTCATAAAACTCACAGTAGCATCTAATAAGATTTTTAATTCCTTAAGGGTAGGAACCATGGCTAATTTTTAATGAGTCTAGTTGAGCAGAAGCATTAGTTCCCCCTCTTGGTAGGTGTAAGCAATAGAATATTCCTAGTCCTACAAGGTTGTATGATTCAAGATTCCAAAAGGAAATCAGAGTCAGCCTGTGTCCACTACAGATGACTAGCAATAGTCAATGTGTACATGCTCAGTAACGACAATGATTTTCCAGAGTTACTAAGAGCAGAAATAGCAACAACAGTATCAGTGAATTAAGTATCAGTTGTACTATCAGTGAATGAAGTAGGAGTTTTAGAAAGATGGTGCTGTTTTATTGCAGAGTACATTCCCATTTGCAGTTACAGGAGAAGTGTAAAGATCAGGCCTGGAGTACTTGATGCTGAGACGCTGCAGTTCAGGAACCTAATTCTCTAGAGACACCACAGCTTTGAAGACAGTCAATTCCACCAGATCTCACACAAGACCAGGAACCATTTCAGCACAGTCCTTCAAATGAACTTTTTCCTTATTTTGTGGAAAATCTCTAGCTAGCCAATATAAATTTAAGGTAAAGTAGTTGTACTCACAAACTCCGGGGCTCGGAAATCCTGCTGATTTTCCAGTGATCCACAATTAGAGACAATTGTCTGCTCCAAGTTTTCCAACACTAAAAATAAATAGACAAAAAGCAGGCAAGTAAGCACAAGCTTTCACTGGCTATATGCAACGAGAGTAATTACATTTAGCATGTGCGGTCCACCTTCAGCTTTATATTTTTTAACACTTGAGCTATGAGAGACAAGCTATTTTGATCCACTGGACAATGCTAGCAGGACATCAGGTATTAAAATTCCCTAGGCCAGGTCTCGCATGGAATATCACTTAGCTTCCACACAGTAACTAAATAAAAGTCTAGTAAAGCCACATGTTAGCCCAATAATGTTCTTTTTCCTATTACAATTCAGGGAACTGATGTGGAGTCATTTTGGGGTAACAATTTCTTTCCTGATATGTTAGAAGTATAATGGGAGCCAAACAAAATTTTTTAGTACCCTTTAAAAACCTAAAAGGAAACAGATGAAATTAATTTTAATGATAAAATTTATTTAATCCATGATGCCAATGATCACCTGAATATTATAATCAATATGTGAAAATATTGTTAGTGAACTGTTTTACATTCTTTTCTTGGAATGAGTCTTAGAAATTCAGTATGCATTTTAGACTCACAGCATATCTCAACACAATTAGTTATATTTCAAAGGTGCAGGGGCCATGTGTGACCAGTAGTAGCTACTGTACCGGACAAGTACGGTGTTAATAGGAATAGCGGAAACAAATCCAGAAGGTAGGTCACTCTGCAAGACACTGGTATTGTCAACAAGACATTGACATGAATAAAAGGGAAAGTTGCAGATTAAAAAGCCACAAAGAAAACAAATACATAATCATATACAGTGTGCAGTTCTGCTTTGGGTACACAGATGGAAAGTCTTTTTCAAAAATTTCAGGGTGGGGAATAGCTCAGCAGTACAGCACTTTCCTAATATGTGGGAGACCCTGGATGCTATCTGCAGCAAAGCAAAAAAGAAGAGGAAGGAGACTATGGAATTATTATTGGCATGGGATAATATAATTTTGTCTATCTAGAAAAACACTCAAATATTAAACACTTAAGCTTAAATATCACTTAGTGCTTAAACAAATTTAATGTTCTCATTCATCAACAGATCTAAGCCTCTGCAAGTCAAGGAAAAGCAACAAGGTTAAGGGGTGAAGAGTAGAAGGGGACATACATCTTATTAAGAAAATGTGGTCCTAAGCTGGCCCTAACTTGGAAAAAGCAGTTGTAAGGAACTTATTTTTTTAAAACTAGGTAGTTTAAGTATTAAATTATATAAAACTGCTTATAATTTTATTAAGTATGACATTGTCTTAGCTTTCTAGTGACTTTTTTCCCATACACGTTATTTTTTTAACATTCCATTAAAGGCTTTGTGAAAGAGAAGGCTGAGTTCCTACCGATCTGGAAAAATTCTTCCTTTCAGCAGCCCAAAAGAGAAAGGCCCAGCATGTACAGAAGAGATAAGAGATTTCTAAGCGACTGTGTACAAAACAAATCAACCAACAATTGAGGCAATTCAATTATCAAATAATTGGCAATCTCACTAAGATTAAATAATAATTTAATAACTGCCATCTCACTAAGAAATCTTCCAGAATCTCCATTAAAATTTAGGCTCACAGTGAATGGGAGGGGAGGGAAATATCTTTACCTGTCTGCTTAACTCACATCTTTGTGCTTCCTATGATGTGGAAAGAAAGGCAGGTGGAAATGACAGTACAAACAAGGGACAGCAGAGAGCTCTCCATGGGATCTAGTGCAGAAGTGGGGCAAATTCAATGAAGTAAGGCTTAAAGAGCGAAAACCAAGGATGAAATTAAGGTGCTTGCCTCTGGAAACTCCAGGAGGGCAATGGTGATTTCAAATTGGCTGTTAAACTTAAGAGATTTTTAACACGATAAGCTTGCTCCAACATCAGAACAACAGTTGTCCAGGACAATTATTTCCTGCAGACCACCCTTAAAACTTGATAAAATGTGCTGGTATACACACTTGGCTAAGAGAAGTAATGTTCTAAGCTGGTGCTGTGCAGGCCCGCTTACATCTGGAAGAGTAGAGTTAACCTTTTTATAGCACTGAGAGATACTGAAGAAATTACATCAGTGGTATTTACATGTTTTACGGCAGAACCAGCCAGTCAATAAAACATAATACTACGTTTATTTTTTACATGATTATAAATCTGACAAAGTGACTTCACTGTGACATCCAATCTGGATTCTTATATGATGAGCTAGTCCGTTTATCTATTATGTACTGTATCTGAGGTCAAAAGATAGGAAAGAGCTGTAACAGCTGATTGAGAGGAATTGGGGTTTAAAAAGTATGCATTGTGCCTAAAGACAGAAGAGAAACAGATATCTTATCAATTAAAGGTATCTATGCAGCTTGAAAGGATTTGTGGGAAAAATAATTATTTGTATTTTTAGCTATTCTTTTGGTAATGGAACAGAATATATTCATTGGTTAATGTTAACACAAAGGAGAAACCATAAATTTGAGTGAATAAAAGCAGAAATGGTTTTACTGAAACATCATCTAGGTAGAACAAAGCCACAGCTGTTACTCTCATGACCTAATATAGTACTGAGAAGCAAATGATTTATGATGCTAAAATGATAATTACATTTCACTACCGAGGGGCTCCAGAAAATGTTTGACATTCTCATTTCTGGTAATCTAACATAGCTGAAAAAAATCATTTCTTGACACTCTGAGACTTTTCTATTAAAACAGGTAGAAGTAGGGGAAAATGCTGAAAAGCAGAAATGTTTATTTTATTTCTACATAATTTTCCCTAATATAATATTTTGAAATGTATTTTAACACTGTCACTTTGCCTTGTATTATACAACAGATGCACTACTTTGAACAGTATCAGCATTAGAATTTAATTTTAGGACTTGGAACATAAAAAACTATTTGGGACCTTTATGTTATCTATTCACCAAAAGGCTGACTAGAGAAATGAAAACCAGATTGTCTAATACGATGAAAAACATTTTGTTCAATTGAAGTTTGTATGAATGGACAATGAAAGAGTTACTGAAGGTCAGGGTCAGCAAATATTCACTAATTACTTTATTATTTTGCACTGACTTTGTGTTTTAAGGCCGTAGGGATACCAAAAAGAACCAGATGAAGTTGTCTCTTCTTGATGAAAGGACTTCAGGACATGATTAATGCTGATTTCAGTATCATTGATAAGCAGCAGGCCAAACACATTTACACAGTGCTGTAAGAATACAGTAGACCCTCAAGTTACAACCAGCCTGAAATACAGACCACTTGGGTTAATTAGGTTAATGGAAGATTCATCTGCCTTTTGTTGTCTATACTGTGTATCTAGGTAAACATCCAGATTTCAGATGTACTGACTTACAACCAACTTGAGTTACAACCAGCCTCAGGAACTGATTGAGTTCCTAAGTCAAGGGTCCACTGTACTACTAACTGGATTATTTTAGGTAAAAATAAAATATTTGAAGATTTAGGTAAAAATAAACTCACTAAATATCTACTTTTCCTGAATTTAACAGAAACAAAATTAAACACCTAACAGTTTAAAATGAAAGGAAGTTGGAAACTGGATAAAGAAGATGTGGTTTTTCTATAAAATGGAATACTACTCAGCCATAAAGAATGAGAAATTACATTCATTCATAGGAAAATGGATACATATTGAGTATATACTCCTAAGTGAAATAAATAAGTCACACATGTGTAAATACTGAATAGTTTTTCTGGTGTGAATAAACTATAATAATACATAAGATCCTAATGAGATAATTGACAATGTGAAATAGGAAGAAAAGGACTAAAGGTGTAGGGAAAGTGGGAAGAGCAGGGGAAAGGTAATAAGGGAAAGGAAAAAAACAGGAGAAAATGAAAAAATGGAAATGAAGTGTTTGTAAATAGGGAGGGGAGGAGGGGGTGAAGGGAGGGCAGGGACAAGGGAAAAAATGAGAACCAAGACCTGGCATGTAAAGGTACAAGATTCCAATAATGAATGTAACTGTACCGTATACCTAAAATGCACCAATAAACTAAAAAAAATAAAATAAAACTAAAATGAAAGGAATAGAGAGCATTTTTAAAAACCTTATCAATGTACACTAAGGTTTAATGCAGTTAATGGAACACGAGTGAAACAAGCCGGTGGTGGTACTAGTTCTGACTTCCTTATTTGGCATTCCAAAATGAAGGGCCGAATAGAAATACCTAGAGGCTGAATCACATTAATGGATTAATAACAGGACATGGAAACCTCATCAGAAAGGTGCAGTTCATATGATTCCTTGCCTGCCAATTAGAACGCAGTAATGAAATTTATTATCCCAATTGCAAAACAGATAACCTGTATGGCAAAGCTGATTCAACACTTTAATATAAACTAGCTAATGCAAAGAGCCACTTTGTATAATTTTATAACTTAGAGAATCTATTGACCATCAGAGAAACATGAAAAAACTTCTTAGGAAATTCAGACATCAAAACCCAAGAGCCTGATAAGTAATGCCCCAGGAATGAAGGTAAGCAGAGTCAGGCATCTTTATTTTATCTAACTTGAAATATCAGCAGGACAGGAACTGGGTCCAGATGACTTGTTTCCTATTCCAATCATACCAGGACCTGCAGCAAAGGGCACCAAGCATGGTGACTGGGCTCATTGACTGGGTTCAAGTCCTGACTCAACAACTCCTTGGCCGCATGACCCTGGGAAATGCTCAGTTTATTTACCTGAAGCTGATAATATTACTTTCCCTGGTGATCTCACAGGGTTATGCCAAGATAAAAATAAAAATTTAAAAGCATGTCATAAAAAACTACATAAACATAAATTAAGTTCGTGTACATAGAAAAATGGAAAGAAACCAACATGGAACTTTACTGAATGCATTATTTTTGGATGACAATATTGAATGACCACATTTAATCCTACTTTTGTTCTTGTTTTCATAGGTGATGAATAATAATTCAAAGTTGATAGTTCCCTCAAGTCAACCACTAGAAGTTAGATTCAATGGGAATCAAACCTAATT